TAAAAGATAAATTATTTCAAATTTGTATAACAATTTTGAAATTAGGGGCAAGGGCTGGGCTGTCCCATTTTTTCGGTTTGGAAATATGATCACCCTACTCTCCCATAAACATAATATGTTTTCTAAGAAACTAAAGTTCGTATATTCAAACTCTTAAAAGTGGTGTTTAAAGTGTCACTGTGGCCTGAAATCACATTCCAGTACTAAAACTAGTGCAAGTAGAAACACTACCATCATTGAAAGCAACTCTACCATAACATAAAGTGGACCATCTCATACTGCCACGTGCAGTAGAAAACATTCACCCATGTAGATATTTTGAATAGTTGCTCACAAAGAAATATTTCCAGAGTGAGATGAGCAATGCTACTGCCGAACTGAAATCAATTCAAGATGTAAGTATGGATGGGGTCCTGATGAGAACCCTATATTTCTCACGTCCAATTTCAACATCACAACTTGGATGTAGAGTTGGCAGTTACTTAAGCACCTAGATACTCAGCATACAACAGATTTGAGTACCATATGGCACCACTTAGGCATGAGCTTTCTGGTCTTACTTTACCATGTAATACATACAGTAGCCATTTTGATTCTTCTGGCCAAATCACTTATGTTGAGCTGAAAAAAAAAAGTTTTGAAACAGTTGGAGAGACTTTGGCCAAAGTTTGCACAGAAATGGTTCTTGATGGTTTTACTGTAACAGCAGTATTTGTCTGTGGAGTAAACTCAAGTCTTGACGTCAAGGAGCCATTTGCACTAATTGATGTTGTAGCTACTGTTTTTAAAGAAGATGAAACTTTTCATACTGAGATAGTCAAACTGTGGGTCTAGAATATTTTTTCCTCCTCTATCACAGATACATACATTTATTTATTTATTTTTTCATTCTTGTCCCAGATTCTGAAGATGTTTAAACCACAATCCCTTTCACAAGCCTAAGTCAGTGACTTATGCTACAGAATTTAAAGCCCTCAGCTTTCAAAGGAGAGATGTCATACGATTTTTTTTGTCCAAAATACCACAAAGAATTTGTAAAAGCTGTAGCTCATAAAAGCCATGAATTACCACAAAAAGGTCATTGAGATTGTGGCTGAATATGAAGAAATTAGCAATCCCTCCATTGATGATCCAAATGACTCGTATGCAAACCTGAGTTGTAAAAGTTCCAAGATGAAAGGCAGAAAAGGAATGCCAGTACATGACAGCATTTTTGATGCACTGATGTGTGCCCCTAGAGTGAAGATATCTCAGATGCATTGTAACAATATCCACAAAATAAGGACAATATATGTAAGGAAGTTTTAAGTAATCTTGTAGTTTTAAAACCATATGTTAATCTTTCATGTTATCTTAAATAAAATTCTAATGATCTGAAATTGTAGTATATCAATGATGATGCAACTAATTCGACTCAATCATGGGTTTTCTTTCCACTTTCATTATAGATTATTTTTCAATATGCATATACATACATACATACATAGAGGGGGCCCTGAAGTTTCTCCAATATCATGTGTACAGAGGGGAAGGGGTTAAAAATTCTGCATTTTTGCATATATAATGCTTGAATGACTCCTTAAGACACAACTGATGTTTTAACCTTCCTTAAATACTTTCAACACATAAAATTGTTAACATACATCTTCACCACAGACATACAATCACCGTACATTGTTATTCCTCATAGTGATGACATGCTAGCTCTGAAAAAGTTTCTAAACAAAAGAGACACTAAATTTACTACCAATGAAAGCCCTCTTCAATTATGAATACCTTTGAATTCAATGGCCAACAACTCACCAGTGTTTCAATGAGAACAAAAATAGGTCCATCCTTTGTTAATATATATTTTGATTAACTTAAGAAACACCTTTATACTACTTTTGACAGTATTTTTCCTTAACTTCTTCATCCAGTACACTGATGACATTTTACATACTGTGACACGAACCAAAAAAGGCTGTGTGGAGTTGTTGGATAATTAACTGCTCTACTTGAGAAAACCCACTTACCACATCTCCAATACAAGTGAAATCAATTTCCACATTTAAGGTGACTCACTTAAAACCACTGAACACTACAATAACACTGACAGTCATGGTTACTTAGACCGACATTCTTTCCATCCTAACAAAACTAAGGCTGCCATTCTTAAAGAACAATTCACATGACTGATAAGTTTAGTTTCAATGTAACATTGTGTCTTTTGCCTGATGAAGGGCTTCTGCCCAGAAAATTGCACAAAATAAAATAAATTATAGTTTTTACTTACATGTATTATTTTATCCTTTATTACTTTTTATCCAAATTTTATATATATATATATGATAAAACAGGTAAGAGTTTTGAAGATACTACTCACCTGAATCACACTTTTGCTAGTTCTGGGATATCAGATAATTTTTAAAAGTCAAACCTTGGCATTCTCTATGGGTAGGCTTACCTCTATTCAAACCCATTACTATTATGGTACTTAAGATACCATAAAAACCATTAACATTTGATATTTCCAAAGCTAAATTTAGCTGTATCCGGCAAAACCACCACAATAGTATTTAATTACCATATAAAGCATCAGTTTATTGATCACTGCCATAACTACACTCAGCAGTATTTAGAAACATCATGATGATGATGTTTACTTATCCCCAAAAATAATTAAAGTTTAACAGAACTACCTGTATTCTGCACACCACCACGCTCACCTGCATTTCTGCAACACCACTAGAACTAAGCTTACCTGTATTCTGCAACACCACCGTGATATATTTTCATTGCTGTAGCTGAACTCATTCCATAGAATAACTTCACTTTTTTACCATTCTTCTCTATCACATCTCCACCTGACTGATCATGTCCAGCAAGCATTCCTCCAACCATTACAAAATCAGCCCCAGCACCAAAAGCTTTAGCTATATCACCAGGACAGGAACATCCTCCATCCTTAATGAAAACATTAGAAAGATGATAAGACTACACATTGACATAATTACAATTACCTGGGAATAATAAGCAAAAATCTTACGCATCAGTAACTTCAAGTTTAAGATGGTTAAAAAGAAATGTTTTTTACTGACTTATGTTCGTAATTGAAATATCTTAGAAAAACGAATTCTGTCACACAAAAATCATCTTTACATGAAATATCCATCTCATTAACACTTAATTTTTAGTTCATTTATAGCCCATCTAATGAAATGTTATAAGACAGATTTTATTCCTGATCAGTAGAAAAGGGGAGTGAAACGTAATTTACTCAACCAACGTGTAACTTCAAATCTTAAAAAAATATTCCTAGAAACAAATCTGTTAAAATTTGATAGTAAAATTTTACAGAAAATATTTTCTGGAAGTATCATTTTAAAAATTTTAACCCAGAAGAAATAAATTCTTTCTTCTATTTCAAATGGTTTCAAAAAAAGACATCAAGCCTAAAAGCCTAATTTTGCTCGTTTCTCAGTTTTCTTTAATATTTGGTGATATTTCTTTGAAAAATATGTATGAAATCAATTTCAAGTTTACAATCTTGCTTTTTATATATTATCACCTCCAGAACTAGACTCAGCAGTATTAAGAAACGTCATCATGATAATGTTTAGAAATAACAAAACAACTCATTAAAGTTTAACAACACTAGAACTAGACTTACCTGTATTCTACACACCATCACATTCAGATATACTGCTTACATGTACCTTGAATTGTATGCACTGTCTATATAAAATTAAATAAAAAAATCTAGAACTTTCTGGTGATAAATTTTTCCAGTTAATTTCCAAAAAATTTCAGTTACCCTTTGACAAAAGGATTAAGTATAAAATAAACTTAAACATTTATTAATAAACCAAGGTAGAATGTCGTACAAAAATTATTCAATATGAATCTGCCTCTTTAAGTCAAGAATCTCAAGTCCAGCATTATCCATAGAGCTGCCAAATTTATAGCATCAAGTCTCTCAACAAAAATTCAGCTTATACTGAGAAACACAAAAAAACCCTTCCTCTTTTTCATTTTCACAATAAAAGAAAACATTACAATCTTTTAAAAGTTATAATTTTCCTATAATGAAGATATATTTCCAATAGGTACTTCCCTGTTCTCACAAAATTAGCTTTTCCATTTTGTGCTGCCCTCTATAAGTGAACTTTTTTTTATAACACATGCCACAAGCCTTATGCACCTACCCTGTTGGAATCTTTGAATCTGATGCAAATCATCTTGTGCCATCTCTCCAATAGGAGAGCAAAGAATACTCCTGAAGATGAGTGAAATAGATCAAATTATCTGAGGAGGGGCACTGCACCACTTCTGAACAAGGTATCGCCTCACCATAAACAGCTATGACTGTACTCGATCATACTGGCTTCACCTCAAGCCCCAAAATCATGGAAGTGAGGAAAACTCTGACTCCAGGGCATGAAACAGGATTAGCATTGAGCCAAGGATCTGGGAATGTGTCATCCGATATCTGAGGGAAGTCCATTGCATGCAATCAACTCCTGCGATAGTGAGACTGGTCCGAAACATCCAAAGGTCAATAATATCCCAATCAAAAGAGAGAATGAGGGAGTTCCCAGGACAGAAATTGAAAATCCCTTGTATACCATCCATAACCCACTACACAGAAAGAAAAATCAAGGGAGAAAGATGGAAAACCCCAAACCTGTGTGAGGACTTAAAGTTGATTGGTCCACTCAATATTCAAAACTAGCCCATGGGGTACTGACATCTGCACAAAGGTAGGATGAAGGCACCCAATCAAAGGGTTGAACTGCATTTAGATGTCTCACTCCATGGTAAGTATCACTCAATCCAGAGGATGGTATGCCTTCTACACCGGCAGAACAACACTGCCCTACTTTAACTGAATAGTTATAGCCATCTATGTGGAACCCATCCAGCAGAATGCCTCCATGGTCAACCACCCCAGTGGCTTGGAACTGGCATGTGGTAAGAACTCTCATACTCCACTGGAAGAAGAGGGATAAGAGCATTGAAGAGTCTGGAGGAACAGCTACTCCTGAGACAGTGCAATGGGTGATTACGAAACCATATTTTGAAAAGCAAACCATACCGATTTATTTAATCAAGGCATGGCAGGGATAAGCAGCTATCCCCTTTTGCTTTACCCATGTTGACCATGAGTGGTATAGTCCAGGACAGACCTATTTATGAAGCAAATATCACAAGGTTATCAACCATCCAGTGATCTTGGGAAACATCCCATCTCAAAGGTGAGCATGCTGAGCCATGGAAAGAGTACGTGAATCAACATGGCATACAGTGTGGATTTGTTTGAGTATGTAAAGAACACCTGGTCAGGTACTACTCACCACAGAGCAGGATCCAAGAGCCAAAATTCGAAGCAAAGGCTCCTCAAAGAAAAGAAAGCATTAATAAAGACTTACCTAGTGTCATAGCTGCACCGAGGTCTAAAGTATAGCCACAGGTGGTAGGCTATAACCCGAGGAAGAAGAAACCATGACGTGATGTAAGTAATGGGAGGTGAACGCCTGAATGGGTGGTCCACATGCCCGATTGCAGAATCTCCTCCAAAATCCAATGAAAACTAGAAGCAATGGAAAAGGTGAGGTGTCAGATTTGATGGGAGGTAACATAGAACAAAGCTCATTGGTAGGGGACACAGAGGTATAAGCCAACTGGATTAAATGATAAACTCAATTGGTAAGGGTAAAGGGAGAAAGATCCCAAGAGGAAGAGGGTTACCACATGATAAAGAGACAGAAACAGGAACCTCTGAGAGAAGACATGCAGGCAATATAACAACGAAAGGCATGCATCGAGCATAGAAATATATCTGGATCAGGATGAGGGAAGAGATGAGTAATAGAGGGAAGGGAAATGGGTGAAAAACAGGAGTTACCCTCGTGAGTCGCCAAGGTCTTGAGAAGGAAGGAATGATCTGAATAAAGGAGAAGATAGGTTTGGTGGAACAGTGTGTCAAGAGGAGAAGGAAATATGCCTTAAGGGATAGGTGAAACAAAGAACACAGAGGTAAAGTAAAGGAATGGAGTACCATGTTAATGTTCCAATCTGGAAGTACCGAACACCTACGGATAACATATCTGAAAATAACAGATCAAAATGGCAAGGACACAGAAAGAAAGACCCTTCAGTAATGAGAAAAATGGAAAGTATGGGATAGGGCTGCCTGATAAGCTGATATTGAGGAGATTGAAGACCCCCTTCTCAAAAAGCCATGTAACAAATTCGGAGATACCAGCAACCATAGCATGAGAAGCTGGGATACACCAAACCAGAGCCCAGGTGTAGAAAACATTCCATTTCTGCTGATACATAGCCATGGATGAAGGACAAAAGGAATAAGCTACATGAAATGCCATCTGACAGAAGAAACTAGATCTCCTCACCAGGTACCAGACAAAAACCATGCATGAAGATGGGGGATGTGAACTGTGCGATGCAGAACCGGTGACTGCGGTTGATGAAGAAGGTCAGGGAATAAAGGAAGAGGGAAAGCAGGGAACAACTGTAGCTGGAGTAATCAAGGAGACCACACTTGAGCGGGCCAGTAAGGAGCAATCAGAAGAACTTTGCACGGTGTGGTATGGATGAGGGAGACTACCCAATGAAGTAATCGGATAAGAGGATAAACATATAGGAACTTGTTCGAGCAATCCTGGCTGAAGGCATCTATAGTCAAAGCCTGAAAATGGGAAGGCGGGGACTGAAACAAAGGCAACTGGTGATTGAGGGCTGTGGCAAATGCATCAATATGAGAAAAACCCTACCAATCACAAAGCCATTGTAAAAAAAAAAGGACCACTTCATCAGGTCAGGAAAGATGATCTGCCACAAGGTTGAAAGCACCCAGTACGTGACATGCCATCAAACGAATGTGATGATCGTGGGCCCAAAAGAGAAGATCCAATGTTAGAAAATACAGGGGTGTCGACTGGGTGCCACCTTGGTAACTGATACGAGCCACCACTGTTGAACTGTCAGAGTGAATCATGACCAGACAATATCTGGAGATGGGGAAAATGTGATCCAAAGTCCTGTAGTAGGAGGAGGACACCTAGTCACACACATGTGAAGACACAACCAGGGGTGAACTGCATCATCCATCACCTGGTAGCATTTGGAATTATACATCAGGTATTTGGTAGATGAGCATTAATACCATCTGCACCAGCAGAACACCAATGCCCCACTCTCAAATTAATGGGAGTGAGCACACTCAGGATGAAGCCTCCATGATCCACCATCCCAATAGCTAAGAACTGGTAAGTGGTAAGTACTCCCATATTCCACTAGAAGAAGGGGAAACAGCATATTGGATAGTCTGGAAGAATGCTGCACTGGAGACAATGAAATGGATGACCATGACACTAATACGTGTAACAGACCATTATAATTCAATTCATTTTCAAAGACTGTCATATAATTAATATTTGTAGCAGTTGCAAACCTGTATTCTCTGCTAAAACAAACTGCAGCATATTGCACAGTATTCCACTATATAACATTTCTCATTTTAATGATCAGAAATTGGTTATTCTAAAATGCAATACCAATCATCTATTTGGGTACAGCAATACTTGTCAACATCCCACACATTTTTGCTAAAAATAACAATTCATCTAATCAGATTAAAAAAGCTTTTGGAAAGTAGCAAACACTTAACATCATTGACAATAATTTAGCTAAATAGAAACCATAAGAGGGAAAAACAAAACCATCATCAGGTCCGAATCTGAACTTTAGAATAGCCTTGAATAACAAAAAAAATTCCAGCTTCCGGTTTGCTCAGTTATCAAAATGACCGACCATTTGACTAGATTATCCTATATTTTTTCATTAAATAGCAAACAAACAACTCCCTTCATCACAAACAAAAAGTAAAATTGGCTTAACATATTGTAGGTTCCTTAATGTTTCCTGTTTTTCCACAGTTTTACCATTTTTCCAAACTTTTTCACAACCAGAAATGAAATAAAACTTTCTCCTGACTTTTTCCAGTTTTCCTCAGTAGCCAGTATCTCACCTAATCAGGCACATCACACAGCAGTTACATGTATACTAACATGAATGGCAAATCACATTTATGCTTCAGTAATTCCAACTAAACTATCAATCCTATTAAAACTTTTTTGATCTCAAAACTAAAGACTGGTTCCATTTATTCTACACCATTCACAACTATTGTTGGGAAGGTAACCTTGCTATACTTTGAATGTTTATTTTGTTCAACTCCTTCATAAGTGAACAGCTTTAGACTATAGATTTTATCCTTTTTTTTTATTTCTTGGCTTTCTTAAGCAATCTTTCAACTACAGTAAATCTTGCCACACATTGACATTTTCTTTAACATGCATGATCTATGAGTGAACTCTGCAGTGTTCTTCTGCACATTATCAAACTACATTTAATTCAATCAAACTTACAAACACGTTTATTATAGTATGGAAACAGCAATCAATTTCAGCAATCTGTTAAATAATTAATCATTACCTAAGACCCAAAGTTAATTATATTCCACAGTGAAAAAGAAGTTATAAAAGTAAAGTAACTCCTGGATTCTTTGGACTTACCATAGTAATGTGTTCCAAAAAGCTAAGGACACCATAAGGTCTACAGTGAGAATGAGCACACAAAGAATATAAAAGTTTCCACAGATAACATTAACCTACCGAAATGATGTGTCCACCAAGCCCATGAGCAGCATCAGCACATTCAATAACTGCACTCAGTTGGGGATAGCCAACTCCTGTCTTTTTCCTTGTGGTGCACACTGAACCAGGGCCTATCCCAACTTTGATAATGTCTGCACCTGACAGAATTAGTTCTTCAACCATCTCTCCTGTCACTACATTACCAGCCTAAAGTAAATGCAAAATGTCAAGATTAATTTGATAATATATAGCATTGATACTATTAATCTATTATTCTAAAGTATTCAGTGAACAAACTGTTTAAGATTAAGCTTTTTTTTCTCATCACCAAAATAATGAATTTCAGCAAGATAGAAAAGTGAAGACCACTCTATTATTCAATTCATCAGTTGTCACTGAGTTATGTTTCTGAGATTTCCATCCCTCATCAGTAACCCTGGGCATGGGCAAATCAAAAACAAAAATGGGCCTTTTAGTTATTCTTTTTCTCATCATATTCAGGTTATATCTGAGAAATATGTAATATTAATGTTACTAATATTTTATTCTAACTTAATCTGTAGACATGCTGTTTAAGATGCATGTAATTTACATAAACCACAGGCAAATATGGTTGAAAGTATTATTTACACGAATTAAATATATGTCAAACTGATATGTGTATATAATTACCATGATAGTGAATGATGGGAAAGCTTTCCTAACTTGCCGCACAAAAGACACAAAATGTTCAGAGTATCCATTTGCCACATCAAGGCAGAGATATTTGATCTGTGGGACCGCTTCAGTGATAGCTTTTAGCTTTTCAAAATCTCCTTGCCCTGATCCGGAACTAACTGCAATATTCTACAAAGAAAAAGTGTGATGTACTGAAAGCCACACTAAAGCAACATAGCAAGGGTAAAAGCTATTGTCTTGATAAGTTTCTATAGAACATTTTGATTGTGAAACTCAGATCCTTTTTATAGATAATGGATTTTAGATGAAAGTCTAAATCGCTGTCTAGAAACTACACGAGGCAGCAGCACTCTACAGGAAACTCTTTCAGATAGAATTACTGTCCAAATTCTCTGTGAAAAAATGTGTTATTAGTTTTTGATACACTTCTACAAAGACCAGAAGTATCATTCAGTAAATATTCTTGACATATTTCTAGTCAAGCAAAGAAAATAAAAAAAAAGACATCTTCACTGATGAACATGCATACAGTATATAATCTAAAATGATTATTTAAAACACTCTTCCAAATTCAAGAATTTCCATATTACAAAGCTAATTACAAACATATTTAAAGCCATATTATTTTTCAAAAATACTATTTATTAAACTTGTTTAAATTTGTTTTTATAATATGTTGCCATTGCTCTACTATTCGTTATTATTTTGTTTTCCACCAAATATATCAATTACATTATTACAATTATGTTTAATATAAGGAGATCGTGTAAAAACAATAAATAGAATTTTAAATTATTTTATTACAGCAGATTTTCTATACAAAACCAAAACCTCCATTGTAAATTTAACAGATTAAATATATGTGTTTGTAATCTAAAAATTATTAATTTTAATTAAAAAATAAATCTAAACAATGAAAATATGTTGACAGACCTTATGTTAAATGCTGTTCTTACGATCTTACCTCTACAATATCAGGGTTTTTGTTAATGAACTCCTTCCAAGCTTCTACAGAATAATGTTTGTGTATTGTTGTAAAAAGACCATGCTGCAAAAGAAAACAGCATTAAACGAAAATTCCATAGAAATAAAATTTAACATTGATCTGAATACAATAAAATTTTCCATGAACTGATTTACCAGCCATTATGGTGTCTTAACTAAAAAAACACAATAAATTAGTTCAACCTCTACTCACTACACTATGCGCATGATGGACTCGCACTAAGTTAGTTACAATAATTTTACACAGTGAGTAGTTTTTACCTGTCTTGTTATATTATTAAGTGACCCCTGTTATAAAATGTGAATTTTTTAGTGTTATCCTTAACAGCAACAAAAAATTTTAATCTCATGGAGCAAGAAAAAGAATGTATTCTTAAAATTTTTGGTAAATACACAATATATATATATATATATATATATATATACTGTAATGTCAAAGCTTTAGGAAACATTTTTTCTTTACCCTTTATCCAAAATTCAGATTGTGAAATATACTGAGGAAGCTATTTATACAAAAACACATTAACCAAGAATTGTAAAGCTCAAGATTAATTACAATATAAATTTTGTAAAATATTCTTAAAAACCAATCTGGTAGATAAGGGTACTTAATTTACCTAATATCAAAGAATTCACTATAGAAATACTTTTTGTTCATAGGTCAATCCAAAAATGGATAACAACTGTAAGGGTACCCTCATCCAAAACAGACAAAAACCTTATCAAAATGGTACAGAAAAAATGTGAGAAGCTAACCACAAGATTATTTTAATGGCCAAAAAGTAAAAACTACATAAACTAGTGAAGTATTTCTAAAATCACGGTTATCAGTATTCATTTTTTACGTACAAGCTTAAATAAAATGACAATGATGTCATAATTTATAAGGCTACCTGTCATATCTACCTTACCTTAGCCAAAGCTTCAGCCATCTCAAATGTACCTACTGTGTCCATATTAGCTGCTATTATAGGTACTCCTTTATAGTGTTGTCCAGAATTTCGAAACTTGTAATTACGTTCCAGATCAACCTTGTTAAAAAAATTTTCTTTAATTAAAAATCTAAATACCGATAAAAAATTTACAAAAGAAAAATTTTAACAAACATGTACCTAAACTAATACCGTAATTATCTGATTATAATATGTTCCAAAATATAATATGCACCCTAATCTTCATGAACAAGGAATCAAGTTTGCCTTATCATAATAAAAAACACCTAGACTTTTGCAATACCATAATAAAAGAAACCCTTTAATGACAAGAATGTTAGTGTCCATAAAATTCTTTATTGTGCGTTCATCCTAGTGCTTGCTATTTTTGCAATTACAACCGGCAAATAGACATTATCAAAATATTAGAGTATCCATAAAATCGCTAAAAATAAATTTGCCTTAGCAGTTGCTATGCTTGCAAATAAATGTTCTCAAAAACCCATTTACAGCTAGTGTTCATTAGTAATGACCCTCTGCAACAGCTTTGCTCAGGGTACTCAGTAGGGTCCCAGACTCTCAACTTTTTTTCAAGGGTCCCAAACTAATTGTCAGGGGTCCCATAGGTAGAATTTAATAAACTCAAAAAAAGGAAAACTTTATTTACAAAGTACACTACATGTTTACCTTCCGCAAGTGGATAATAGCATGTTGAAGTTCAATGAAAAGCTTTATTTACAATTTACACTGCATGTTGTTTCCCTTTATGAGTGTAAAGTAATTTTTGTGATAAAATTAAAAATACTTTTCTTCCTATGAAGATTTTCAAATATCATTTGCATAACTCCTAAAACCTCCTAAATAAATATCAAATATCTTTTTTTTTCAGAAGAACTTTATATTTTATCTGTTATTTTCTTTACCCTAACTCTATACCAACCTTGTAACCACCATAAAAAAATTAAGAAATATTTATAAGTTTCCCCTATTTTCTTTCTGGAATGACTGCAATTTGTAACAGAAAACCACAGCTGTTTATCTCAAGAGCTTTAAAGCTGGTAACAATATATATATCTATTTATACTTAAATTTTATACCCCTTTGAAGAGCATATTATGGTATCAAATTAATAATGCATGGGTTACTCGAGAGCATACCTCATAAAAAAATAATATTATTATTTATTTCACTTTAGCTAACCTCAAAAGTTTTTAACTTTTAAATTTTAGTTAATTTTATAATAACAAATAAAGAATACACATGAAAAACAAGAAATAAAGGACTTACCTGGGTTTTTTTTTTGCTCTAGACTGTTGACGAAACTTAATCCTACTTTTTTATACTAGTTGTATTAATGCATTGAATAGTTTCTATTTAATTACATAATGCATCAATGAACACAGAATAATAACATGCAACAAAAGGAAACAATGTTCCATAACTATCACAGTTTTTTTTACTTTCAAACTGCATGACAAACGCTATTAAAAATTTAGCTAAGCTCATTGATGTGTTTCCTGTGGGAATAAAAGTTTGAACTGGAAGGAAAATAGTAATATAATACATAATTTGATAAAGAAAAACTTTGGCTTTCTATTGGTTATAGTCTTAAATATCAGAGAAAAAAATTATTGGCAAGTTCTGAAAGTAAGGATGTAGCAAGAGGGGTCTGATTTTCTATTTTATTGCTCTTTAACTAAATAAGATTGAAGGCTATGTAAATTATGCTTTGCCTGAATAATGAAAACATTACAAGGAATAATTTACATTAAATTTCATACTTCTTAAAGGGATGGTAAAACAATTAGAGAAGAGGGAAGACATAGATAACAAATGTCACAGTTCTGGGTGGTAAAACAATTAGAGAAGAAGGAAGACATAGGTAACAAATGTCACAGTTCTGGGTGGTAAAACAATTAGAGAAGAAGGAAGACATAGGTAACAAATGTCACAGTTCTGGGTGGTAAAACAATTAGAGAAGAAGGAAGACATAGGTAACAAATGTCACAGTTCTGGGTGGTAAAACAATTAGAGAAGAAGGAAGACATAGGTAACAAATGTCACAGTTCTGGGTGGTAAAACAATTAGAGAAGAGGGAAGACATAGATAACAAATGTCACAGTTCTCATACTGTGAGAGAATTAGAATTTGATAGGTTTTATAGTCATTTATTGCGTTTCCTGTTTAAGAGTATTTTTGTTCAATGGTTGTAACATATGTTTGACAAGCATTTTTCGAAACCAGAAAGGGTTATCACAATTCTCGACCAGCACTTGTTGGTACATAATCATAATATTTATTATCACTACACACACACAAGGTAACTGGAAAAATGTAAGTTAGAAACTTGTAAGCTATTATTAATAGAATTTGTGTGTGTGTAATGATATGATAATATATTTCATGATTATGTGCCAACAGATGTTTATATCTGAAGGAAGAAATAATGCAAACTTAATTCCTCACAACTGCTGTCTACATTTTTACACTTATTTACTTCTTATTAAGCAATGTTCTTCCACGGGTAGTAACAGATTCAGGATAAATATTATAAAACAAGGAGATACAAACACCACACCTTCTTGTCTTCACTACTTCAGGCTTGTCCCAGACTCAGAATGAGCTTTAATTTTATATCAAATAACCTTTAAATTTGATGCTTTAGGTGGCTTTTCTCAGATTCATTTAGTCAAAACCAAGTTCTAGACCAAACTGGTTAATTGAAGAAGTTTCATACTAACTAATTAACAGATTCTTTAGTTTTCAAGAAACCTTGCATTTGTGGTTTACCCAGAGTGACACATGTTACTATGTGACCTGTCATTTTCATCAAAACATAGGTAAGTCTGTAACCTCTAGATATCAACCTTTGAAGGACACTATCTGAAGAATTAATATTATTTCTTCCTTCAAATGTAGGTGTACATAATCCTACATATTAAGCATATTAAGAAATAATCCACTGAACTTATGAATGATATATTACTCGTATTCTCAAGTACACACACACACACACACACTGTGTTTGTGTTTAGTGTATCAATAACAAATGTTCATTTTATGTATTGCTTTTGTCCAGTCTTTTCATTTCATTTTACATCAACTCCATTAAGCAAGAGTTTTAGTTACACTTCATAATCAATATGTTATATTTATTTCTTGTTATTCAGCAGGCCTTTCCAATAGCTCAAACACATACTCAATCCAGCAGTAATGGAAGCCAGCACCTTACAGGAGTGTAAAGAGGAGAATTAATATTTTCCTGAACTATAAAGGGTAAGTTTAAATTTTGTCTTTTGTTATGAGTTGCCATGTAAGGACAGTCTTAAGGACCAAATGGTCCCTTATTATTCATATTTGGTATTATTTTTACATCAAATTTGATTTTTGTTAAAGGAGAAGCTGTTTTTAAATTATTAAAAATCTTCTACAGTAAAGATCCTAACCACAAAATGCTTTGTCCTAAATACCTTGAAAAAGCTTAGCACAAAGCTAGTGTGGCTTAACTGTCATTTTTCAAAAGTTTCTTTACCTTGTCACTTTGGTAAAATTCCTATTGATTAGAAGACATCCAATGTATTACCTCATCCCAGCTTTCCACATCTTGTAATTATTACATTTATTGCTGAAGACACATTAGTAATCTTAATCTTATCAATCCAGAAATAAAAGAACAGTAAAAACAACAAAATTTAATTTAATAGGGCTTTTATACTACATTACATGTAAAAAAAAAACTGTTAAAAGAATACAAATCATTCTTAAAAATAATCCACTGAACTTATGAATGAAAGTAGTTTCGTTTCACTGATTCACAAAATGATTGAGAAATATATATTTCATTAAAAAAAATGGGCTTTTTTAATATAAACACTCAAAATAGTTACTTTGTCTTTAAAATCTTGAGAAAGTATTTAATAACTCTTTTAAATAGCAAGAAGAAAAAGTACAATATTAGGAAAGAGTTCCATATGGCACCCCCACCCAAAAATTGTAGAATTGCCTGGATAAAAAAGATTCTGAAAAGGGTTTATTTTAAGGGGCGTATTAGAAAAATTGGGGCATGGCTTTGACAAGC